CTCTGATCCTCCATGACGCGCTCTTCCCATTCAGCCGCCATGGCTTCGACCCCTCTCGGTCTGCAGCGGATCCCCTCTAGAGAGCTGCTAGGCTGTGATCCATCTGAACTAGCACAATATGGAGACTTCTCAACTCGAGTGAGTCGCATTTCTCATGCCATTCAGCAACACTCCTTTGACTTGGGTGTCGTCTTCAGCACTAACACCGTTGCGACCTGTCGCGGCCTTCTTCTTGGGTTGATACAGAATTATTCATAATTCATTGGAGTATTGTAAAACTTCTATATATTCGATTTTATATAATACCCTAATCTAATCTCTGATGATACTTTGTTCCCCGTGTTGTTCTATTGTTGTTGGCAGCTCGTTGACCTCGCTGTTCCCTCATTCATGTTGGCTTTGTCAGGAGTGGAGTCTCATCGGCGAGATACTTGATCTCAACACTGATGCCGCCGATACCATTGCTCGGCTTTCCCTCCTAGGAGGGGAGGACTCCCGAGGACCTGATGAACATACAGGCTTCTGCCACGATCAGCAAGTACCATGACATGTTCAACTCGATACGACTTATGAAGTTGACCCTATCCAGTTGCGTTGTAGTTAGAACGGCTGAATGAGAGGCCCATTTGAGGGCGATAGAGGCTTTCATCATTGTTGATGTCGACATCGTCCTCTAGTCGTGGTGCTTGTGCTGGTAGTCGTCTTCGGAGCTCGAGAGGAGTTGCGCGTGCTGTGAAGAAGGGCCAAGATCGGCGAAGACCAGGAAAGGCCTCTCCCCTTCTGGGGATGGTCATGGTTGCCCAACAACAAGGTGGCCAGGGACAGGTATGTGGGGACACTACGCTGTCGTAGTAGTAGTAGTAGTAGTAGTAGTAGTAGTAGTAGTAGTAGTAGTGTGTTGTGTTGTCAGGTATGCTTTTGGTACCCGAGGACGCTGACGTCATCATCACAATACTACTCGGAGCATCATATCCCTCAGCAGCCACAGTCCAGCTCGCCACCAAGCCCTGCCTCTGCAGAGACCGCCGGCCCCAAGTCCAGCGGCGAGCCCAGAATACTCGGCATAGGCCTCAGTGAATTCGCCAAGTTCGCCGTGCCCTCCGCATCGTGGAACAACAAGAGATTCGATTTCGAGATGGACTCGGGTCCATTGGACCTTCCTGAAGCCATCAAAGTGGCCGCAAGCTCGACTCAGACGACTACCACGGCTAGCCCCTGCTTTCGGTGTGAGACCAATCCTGCTTGGAATCATCTCAGGTGGGGTCTGTCACAGTGTCCCACGAACTGCATGGTCTGTAGCACTCGCAGATGAAATTAATTTTTCTTCACCGACAAGTTCAATTTCCTACCCATTTGGTTGAATTCTCTTCATTTTTTCGTTAACATTTTACCCGTGGTTCTCATAAAACGGCACGAAAATCAATGTTATACCCATAGCATTCGAATTTCAACATTGCGAGCGCGCGCAATGAAAACGGGCCCTAGTTGGTCTTCAGATTCGTGTGTCACCCTTGTGATTGCACACGCCCTGTTGGTGGTCATAGCAGTAGGACTACTACATCGAGTAGGCGGGCTGGGAGCTCAGACCCACCTCAAGGTACCCTTGCTGCCGGTATCAGCCCTTCGTAGTTGCCCCTCTCAGGTGGACGAAGACATAGCAAGCCCTTGCGGCGACCCTCGCAAAGCCAGGTGGGTGCTGCTCCTATGGTAGGGCCTTTGACTGCGTTCCCTTAGGCCGTCTGT